AAAGTCATACGTACAGAAACCGTTAGGGGACATAGTGAATCATGGAGTGGACTTGGTTATGAAAACTTTAATGCTCATATGACTGCTGTATGTCACAACTGTAAATGCTCGGCAGAAAACACAGTTCCATTGAGCCCTTCTACTCCCCACCAGCAAAGGCAACGTATGCTCAAAGTATTTTTTTTTTTTTTTTCAAGGAATAGCTTTCTCTAAATGATGCATTGAACGTTATAAATTTGATCGAATCTGCTGGGTGCTTTGGCACACAGTCATCCTGCTGCCCCTGCAGCCACTTGCAGTTACAACTCGTCCAAAATAAAACAGAAACTTTCCATTTAGCTATTTAAAGAATGCTAATCTAATAAAGGGAAACACCCCTAACACAAACGCGTTTTCCTTTTTTCTTTTTTTCATAGCAGCTGTTATCTTATCCTCTTTTTGACTCCATTGTACGCCTTCCAGTTTAACCATTGTGTTAGCTTCTCATGTGTGGATACAGGAGCCACTTCTCTGACCCTTGGATGGACCTATGGAGGAAGCATAGCCATAGCTAGGTGTGGCTTTTGTAGTCTAACTTGTTGCTTATTTGGCTCTTAAAATAGAAATTTATTATTAACCAGCTTAAAAAAATGCATCTATTCAAGTCGTCCCAACCAAAAATGTAGTCATATTGACCTCCCTTCATTGAGAAATGAGCTCGACACAAATATTTTCCGTAATAAATTTGTTTCCTTTTGCTCTTCTACTGAGATCATTGCCATGACAGTAATTAAATTTACATAAAACATAGCAGACCAAGGTTGATGCACCCAATTGCCAGAGATTCTCCTGTAATAGCTGACAACAATAGCCCAGTTTAAAGCAAAGCGTGCATATGCATTGCGAGTAAATCATCAAATTAGTTCTCTATTTTGTTTTCCATGTGCTCGGAGCACTTCCAATTGAAGGTTGAGTAGCAACAGCAATCTGTTTGAGCTCTACTGAGAATTGCCCTGAAATGAAGGCAGAGCAGACTCCTTCCTCTATGCACCACGTTTGCAAGCCCCGCTTTAGCATTTCATTGACGCACTCGTGCCTGCGCTTTCGCTCAGTTGTTGTTATATCAGAAAAATCCACAGATTGAAGTCCGACTCTATGACTCTTCCTCTAACAAGACATTATTATCTGCTCGCTGACTTGGAATGCAAGCACCAAGCATCCCTCTTTCAGCCTTATTGCTGAAGCTGTTTGTTTTGGCCAGGATTAAGAGTAAAGCTGTTATCTTTGGAAGAGCAGGAGGGGTAATTAGTGCAGTCCAAGCTTGACTTGCCCTCAGAGTAAACCCAGACTGCCCAACACTGTTTTTTCACTTCAGGAAGCTAACTGGACTCTGGCCAAGGTATCAGAGTGGTAAAATGTCTTGAATTTTTGTATCCTTTCGCTTTAAGACATAATATATTTACTGCTGTGGCTTACATTTTATGGTATATATGCTGAAAAGTGATTTATTTCACCTTTTGCGTCATCTCGGGAAGCAGCTACAGTACTTTCTTTAGTTCTTTGTGTTTGATATATGTATCAGTACAAATAGGTTTTTCTCCCTCTCTATGACTCAGTTCAGTTTACTGAAGCTTTAAGTAAAGCTATCTCCCCAGAATCCCTTCAGGAATCCTGTGGGGTTTTGTTTTAACAAGCTCACAGCAAGACACGCACATGACCTTTTTGTGGCCCTCTTTTAGTAGTTCACTGGAGTTGGTGCAAGTCTGCATTAAAGCTTCTTTTACTAAGCTACCGGCTCGAGAGATAATACCAGCCCCGAAGAGCTCGTATCGCACTTCCTCTGGCTGGTTTCCCTCCTTTTACATTTGTCTAGCTGTTTATTTCCTCTCCCATTTGTTTCCAGTGTCTGCATTCCCTTTAGTTGTTTTTTCTGTTTCTGTTGGATTTCTCTTTCATTACAGAGTGGTATTTATGCTCCAAAACAGGGCAGCCTGTTTAGAGATATTCCAGCTGGTGGAATTTAGCATTTGTGTGTGTTTGTATATGCGTGTGTCTGTGAGCCATAGACTGCGGGAAAACGTGTTTATGAACCACTCCGGATTTGGACCGATCGCGTGGATCGGCACGTCTTTTGTCAGCTCCTCTAACCAAAAAGATCCAGCTTTGGTTGAGGGTGTCGTTTATGAGAAATGGGTGAGCTGCAAAATCGTTGCACAGCCACCTGTTAAACAAAGAAAACACACCCAAAACACACACCCTTTGCTCCATACAGGCACCGCGGGGAATTTTCCATATAGACATTGTACCACTGTAAAAACAGGCTGCCAATTAAAGATCATCAGGCCTGCTGTTGGACTGACACACATTTCCCTTACCCAGCCCTTAGCTATATTGGTGTATTTAGACATTTATAGTCATTCCTCAGTCCAAAAGGTTCCAAATGTCAGAACACCATTTAGAGAAAATGGTGCATGTCTGCTCAGATGGAGGGGAGTTGGGGGGGGTAAAGATGGAGAGATAGGGAAGGAAGATTAAGAATCAGGAAACAATTGGAGACAAAGTGTAACAGAGAGAGAGGGAGAGATAAAGAGAGCTGCAGGGCACCAGCCACCATCAAAACCTGTCACCAGCAAATCTTTATAGGAGGCTCTGCTACACACTGATACAGACACTCCAATTTGAACCAAACACCCATATGAATGTGGGGAGTGTGCACAGGCTGAGACAGCGTTGGATGTACAGAAACATATGTTTGCATGCATAAGCAAGTGCTTAGACACCCACACCCACACAAGAAAGAAAGCAAAATCGACCCACTCACACATCGCCAGCGGGGGAGGACGCAAACCCAGTTATGTACAGCATACAGCAGAAGTAATAAGGAGACAAAACAAGTATCCTGGCATGTTTAAAAATTCCTATCCAAACATTATTCAGCCTTCCACGCAAACACAGACTCACACTGACTCGGTGGTGTCTCAGCCTCGTGTGTCCCCGACACACCAAAGCAAACCAAGGATTCCACCTGACTGTGCTGCGCGCATACTAGAGGCAAATATCCAGGGGACACCACACTGTGAAGCACATTATTCACAGCTAACACGCCTCCCTGCAGGGAACACACGCAAACACACACACAGGTGGATACACTCTTGTGCACACGCAGACACACACAGATCGGGATGATGTGGCTGTCTTGCCAGTCAAAAACTGATCGAGTCTAGAAGCATCACCGTCCTCATTTCTATTCTCGTGTCAGTCGTCAATAATAACCTCAGAGGCCCGCGGAAAACCGAGATGCTCATTAAGAAAGCAGAAGGAAGGTTTCAGTATTCTGCGGCTCTGTGTGCCTGTTTTGTGTTTGACCCGAGCTCATACTGCACCAGACTACAGCAGAGCACTTTTTTTGTGTTTGTTTTTAAAATAATTTTCAGCATCAACCTGGAAAAGAAACTCCACACCGTGCTTTATTGGTGAACTTGAGATAATACTGCACATCTTAAACTGGAGGGTTTATTCTCCAAGTGTCACGCGTGAACTTGTTGCAGTTGAAAAACCGTTTGAGGCCATGAGCATTTTAAAGGCCACGTGATGCGAGCATTGAACAGAGTTTGTTACCAAAGTAGCATTTAGCTCGATTTTTGTTTTGACCTTAGAAGTATACGCTCCTTACATGAATGAGAGGGATGCAGAAATGTGTTTGAAAAAAAAAAAGAAAATCAATGAAACTTCAAATGTTTGGCAGATGTAATAATTCTGCATCAGTTTATGTAGTTAAGGAGGATAAAAGCAGCATTGTACCAGACAAGGTAAGGAGGCAGGAAAGGCGGACCTGCGCGTCTTTTGGCTCTGTGTTTTTAGATAGCCGTGGCTTTGTGTGCAGCTTCTGTCGAGTTGTGTCTCTCTCGCTCTCCCTTTCTCTCCCCGCCTTTGCTCCATGTGCTGTGTGTAGAGCATGGAAATAGCAAACAGATGGGCAAAGTGCATTTCAAGGTCAGGGAAATACAAAGTCGACACAGAACCCAATGTGTCCCGTAGCTCCAGCGCTCCAATAAGGCCGTTATTGTTAAAGAAATGTGTGGTTTTCTTTTTCTTTTTTCCTTTCTGGTTTTAATTACAAAGAGTCTTGAACGCCTTTCTAGTGCTAAATGCTTTCCCCAGCAGTATGAAGGCTAATCTGTTAACTTGTGTGTTACAGTAAATTAGCCCGTGTTACATCAAGCAGATGAAGATTTGACCTCACAGCCTGCTGCTGACTAAAGCCCAAAAAGAAGAACAAAAAGAAAGGACCTGCAACTAATATCCAATCAGCTCCTGTGAATAGTCGCAAAGTAGATGCTAATAACCAGCCATCACCGCGCCCAGGAGGCTGATGGCAAATCATGACACGCAGCCACACAATAACAATACAGTCATTTAAATTGTGGTCAACGAGGTCGATGCTTATCAGAGGACGCGCGGGTGTAGCTGCAGCGTATACGCACGTGCACACATAGTCCGTCTTGCCCTCTTCTCACAACACGTACAGTCCAATTATAGAGAGGGGACGGGGCCCGGGCCCTGCGCTCCTGGTGACCTTGTTCCAGGACAGATTGATGAGGCACTGTATCGCCCCAGCAGATCAAATAACTCCTCTCTGGCCCTCATTAGCAGGACTAGGGGAGTTCGGCTTAGCCGGTGTAGTGTGCTGACAGTACTGCGCTAGTACCAAAGTAGCTGCCTTTCAACCATTCCTGAATAAATTAGAAAAAAAACAACAACTCTTAAGTGTTGCCATCTGGTAAAATTGTGTGAACCGTGCAGAAAATAATTAGCTTGTTGCTGGATGACACTGTTTACTGTTTCTACTCTCTCTTGGCTGAGAGTTTAAGGGGAAGCATGAAATAATTTCATCTTGTTCCTTTTCCAGCAAAGGCCATTTTCAGCGACGTTTAACGTTCCTTGTTAGTTTTGACAGATTTCACAAAGAAAAGGTTCAGTCATTAAATGTAAGTTTTCCTTTTTTCGTGTGGACTCCACAGTTTCCCCGCAGTTCGTGAAGCGGCCGGCCAACATTTATGCCCACGAGTCCATGGACATCATCTTTGAGTGCGACGTGTCGGGGTCACCGGCTCCCACGGTCAAATGGGTCAAGAATGGAGACGCCGTCATTCCCAGCGATTACTTCAAAATAATTGTAAGTTCATTCAGTGCTGATGTGCTGCCTTTTTTTATTTTATTTTTTTCTTCCAACCTTTCCTTCACCAGAAGTCATTGCGAGAGTTTACATCACCGGAGCGTCACGAGAAAGAGTAGGAAATTGATTAGAACTGCTGCTTGCATTGATACCTGTGTATGTTTGTTATTCCAATTCCCTCTTTTTTTTTTCCCTTCCTGCTTTGTAGGAGGACCACAACCTGCAGATTTTGGGTCTGGTCAAGTCAGACGAGGGCTTCTACCAGTGCCTGGCAGAAAACGATGCGGGCAACATCCAGTCCAGCGCCCAGCTTATCATCCTGGATCCAGGTATGCCAGACCTGCTGCTAGTGTGCAAATAAGATATTTTCCTCAAGCAGATAAAATCAATTGGTACTTGAGGAAATAAACACAAAAGCTGTGAGTTGATGAGATTTTTTTAACAACAAAACAATCAAAGGCAGCAATGACTCAATGAAAGCAATGAAATTCACCGTGTCTGATCGGTTTTCCTCTGGCAGGCTAGATTTGGAAACATCAGTGGCATTCGGACACAGTGATTCTTGTGTTTATTTCTTAGCCTTTAACAGCTAAACCTCCATATGAATCATAGCCGCTGGAGCTGGACTTGTTTTCCCTGTAACTGCTTTAGTATCCCTAATGAAGTACAGCAGTAGGTACATGCAGTTTATTAAAGTTCCAGTCTCATGTCTGGATTTTTTTTATTTTTTTATTTTTTTAGAGAGAGCAATGAAAGAAATAATCTCTTCAAAAACACCCTTTCAGCAAAGGCTTGAAAAACGTGAGCTGTAAAGTTGGGGTTTTCTGTTGTCTGTACAGTTTTCCCTGTTTGCGAACGTCTGAATTCTCACAGCTGTGCACATCTGTGAAAGTGTGAAGAGTGACGGAAACAGAAATAATACCACTGGGAACTTGTTATACCAGAGGTGGCTCAAAGGGAACAGAAGTATATCTGACGGTTGCTTTGCACAAAGTCCATTCCACATCTAGCGTCACAGAAATGCCTCGCTGCTTGACCCGAGCCCTTTACAAGGCTGTGGATATTTTGTCTTTGGACATGTAAGGTGCTTTAGGTAAACATAAGCTCCACATGCTGTATAAAGTGAGAAGCTGCAACATAGCCAAAGACGAGCTTCAAACATGAAGTCCCGTGAGCTTTAGAGTGCAAGGCAGCAACTAAAGCAGACACTTAAGGACAGTGGCTACAATTGCTGAAAAGTACAAAGTGCCTCCAAAAATAGAAGCTAATGCAGAGGGAAAAAACGTTAACATCCCAGTTCTTGAGGTAGTTTTGTTTCATTACCTCTGATCTTTAGAGAAAATGTAATGCAGCTTAAATTTGCCGTCATTTGCACGGTCATAATAATCATAGTCTAACCCACGGGGCTAGTGAAAACCTCGCCACAGTCCTCGAAAACAACGACAACTTCAAGACCAGAAACGAGGCGCATTTTCTCTGAGCGGCGTAATCTAAATAAAACGAGGTGGAAAATGAGAGACAATAAAGCGACGGGGGCAGTGACGGCGAAAACAAACCCTAATACAGCAGAGATCAGAAGTTGTGCGCGTAGCCTTTACATTGTAATCGTTGCTTTACTGCTGACTCGTAGCGTCCCTTTCTCTCGAGGAAGATGGCGAAAATTTAATCAAGCGTGAACCCCCCCCCCACTTACTCGAAGCAGGTGGCTAATGAATTAGCATAGCAGTGTCCAACCGGTGGCACCTCCAGCTGTGTCATCCCCGCCGACTGGAGGACATTAAGTCAGAAATAATGATGACCTGCAGCTCATTGTGTATTTGTGTTTGACACCATTGATAAGGGTCTGCCTACTTTACATGGCCTCAAGTCTTTTTATCTTTTCTTTCTTTTCTTTGACTTGAAGATAAATGGGATGAATTACAGAGGCAGCTGGCCTTGTACATGAGGTCCGCCCTGAGCACGGCTTTGAAGAAATTAATCTCTGTTTAATCCATAAATATCACAGGGAGTCTTTTCCTTTTGTTACCGTTCTGATTGCGTACATCTGTCTTGGTCACAGTAATGCTAATCCAGACACACTTACCCCAAGAAAGCTTTCCAGCTCCCTGATTATTCATCAGGTTATTATCCTGACTCTCATCTGATGTATGTAGGAAATAACAGAGTCTCCATGGTACTGTTCATTTTTATTCTGCAAATCGTTGACATTTTGCGCATGTATAGACGCATCCACAAACACTGTATCAAAGTAATTTCCCCTCTCAAAGGTGCAATCTGTGCCTGCAAATGGTTAATCAATGGCAACGTGTTTAAAATCATCTCATTTTCTGCACCTATTTGTGTTTCGCGGTGACGGCTCTGATGAATGAATCTCAGTAGACTCTAGTAAAGTCGTATCTTTCTCCTCGGTGTCTCCTCTCTCTCCTCCTGAGCTGCGGCGTGTGCAGGCCTACTCTTCCACACCCATCTGTCACCTTTTTCTCGAGGCCTTCCTCTCACTGTCTTTCACAGCCACCTGCTCTCTGTGATAATCCAACACAGTGAGCTTTGTGGTAATTGTGCTGTACTCAATATAGTCCCCTTATATGGCTGCCCCTTCACAGCTGGACATCTCCTTCTGCTCCGTGCTGCCCCTTTGTGTTTACCGCAGTCAGGTATTCCCGTTCGCACCTGCCAGGCTCGAATCATCCTGAAACGCGGCCAGGAAAACACCCCGTCTGCCGGCTGCCTTGCAGTCGGCGAGATAAGCCAGGGACTTGCCACAGGGATAAAGTTGTCTTCACCCAACAGGGAAATCAATGGGGTGAACTGCATCTAAATACCCAGCGGCTGCAAGTTGGCTAATATTCATTAGTGGCCATAATCTTTGCGTCTTGACACTGCCAGCTGCAGTTAAATCTAGCTCCACTGATGGCTGCCACTCGTGGGTGTTTGGAATGGAAAAATGTCAGCTGTTAGCATATGTATAGCATTTTGGCAGTTATTTATAGTGATTCGTCCTCCACATCGATACAGCTGGCTCAGCGAGCGGGTTTGTGTGCATGCTGCATAAACAAAGAGAAGCTTTTTAAACAGATTTTCACCTTGCTAGGTAAAATCTTTGAAAGTTGCAGAGGTTTGGTCAAAAATCGGGACCTCAGCCTGCAGTCCTTAAAGCAATTTTGTGCACATTCCACAGTCGTGTGCAATATAGGTCAACTAGTTGCAAACAGATGTGGTTCAACTGGAGCTGAAATACCAAAAATGGAACTCGAGGGGACCTAATTGCACGGAGTAATGCAGTCTGAGTAAGTGGCTCTTAATGTCCCTTGTAAAGCTGCCACATTCAGACTTGTTGTTTTCTGGAGGCGCTGGAAGCTCTAAGTAGCTGTGCTCGTCAGAGTCATTACGCACTGTCAGCGAAAATAAAGCTACGGCGAAATTGTTTGCCTCCTCACAAACTACATCCTCACAAAATAATTAACAAGTCTGCATATGTGTACCAGTGTTGTTTGTTTTCTCCCACCCCCTCCTAATTGTAAGTTTCCTGAGGTTTATTACATTAAATCCAGATCACATGTAGAGTAACTAGATAAGAAATGACTGATCTAATCACAAAATGTTCTCACTAAGTGTGTGAGTCAACAAGTGCTGAGGGTTTTATCAAATTCCCGGCAGACTGGCCCGTGCTTTCCTCACAAATTATAAAAATACATCCACTAATGATTGCGTGATGACTCTATCCTGGCATTTTTGATATTTGCCGTCCACAATTATATCTTACTGTCGCACGGGGAGCGACTGGTCCGCTGCAGAGGATGTGCCCTTTGAGGAATTATCATCTCAAACCATCTATTGACAGTTTCCAGCCCTTTTCAAACACATTATTAGTTTATGAGTTGAGTGTTGATGTGCGATAACTGCAGTGGGTGGCACTTAGAGCTGGGAGGGGAAATGGCTCATGTTTTTTTGCTGTTTTTAACTTTGAAGTAGAATTCCTAGACAAAGCAGTTGTTTATGCGATTGCCATCTTTGCGCGTACCATACAAAAAGACTGTGATTGAAGTTTAAACTAGTCCAAGTTTCACAATGTAGTTGCTTTTTGTGTAGTTTTCGCCGATGCAGGGAGGACCGTATATTTTATTTTCAAGTTTTGAATTAGATTTGTGGATGAAAGAGACATTTAGGGTTTTTTGTTTGTTTGCTTTTTGCAGATTGGGATCTTTAGCTTGTCTAAGTAGATCAAAAATTGCAACTTCATGTGTAAAATGCAGAGAGATCTACACTCAGCGCTAGCAAACAAAAGAAGTAGATGTTCTCCTCTGCTGTTTGCCCTTCAGTTCATATCCTTTAGCTTGTTTTGAAGTTTGCATAAATTCGAGCTGCGCCCCCATTTGCATGCGAATACTCACATTTGATCCTTCCACATGCCCTGCCGGCTTCAATCTCGAAATACTCTTTCATGACTTTTCTCTGTCCCTCTGTCTCTCCTCTGTTCCCCTCAGCTCACATGAATAATGTTTTGACATTTTGCCTCCTAGTGACCAAATCAAGTACTTCACTGGAGAGCCTGAAAGCTTGTTTGGATGCACCAAGCTCTGAGAGCTCATCTTGTTTGAGGTGCAACTGTTACAAGTGAATTTCATACAAATGAATGGGGGAGGAGGGGGTTACACAGTCACACACTTCAGGTTACACAGTTTAAAAACATCAGTCGCTGTGCAGTGCTGTGCAACACGGCTCCATGAATTTTACATCCTTTCTCCTGTAGGCTAGCACTCCTAGCCGTGTTTCAGGTCGTGTTATGATGAAAGGAGGATGACACTCTATTCCTGATGCAAATGTGTTTATTCAAGCTTTTGTTAAATTCAGAGCTTAAACAGGCCTTGGTTCCTTTCAGCGTTTCCTTCACCTTCATCCTTTATCTGACACTGCAGCCATTAGTCTCCCCTCCCCCTGCCGTAGACCTGTGGCAGCCAACAGAAGAGTCCTGCCTCCCCTCTGATCAGGGGTAGCAGACCCCCATTGAGAGATGGCGATGCGTCATCGATGCCTGAGTGCTCGCTGTGTCCCCTGAGCTTCCTCTCCCTCCATCACTCTGTACTTATGAGTGCAGGCAACAGACTTGTTGTCATGCTACGCTGACATGTGGGGGTGTCCCCTAAGTTGCAGTGATGATGGCTACATGAAGGGCCCAATGAGATACCTGAGCAGATATAGTCATTCTCACTGCAGCTTCATTAGTAAATATCAGTTAGAGAGGAGGGTTCTCTGTAAAGAGACATTTGTAGAGCTGTTGGTGAGTCTCATCCTTTTTTAATGAGGCAAGGATGCTTAGTCCTTAAAAAAA